GGACCAGGGAGGATGATTCAACCACTCAACCACTAGATGTCGCTGAAAACAACAAATCCTACACACTGAATCATTTGCACAACATTTTATGAATAGGAAGTCAACGACTCCCAGGTAAATACAGCAAATGATTTCTGTTCAGAGAGCTAGCTGTACACATAAAAAGCTTATTCAGTATTACAGATCCCATTAAATCAATTAAAATATAATTGAGTTTTCTTAACAAGCATACAAGGTCATAGGGGTGTGAAAGTACGAAACAACTAAAAAAATAAATGGTTTTACTGACTCAACTGATTAGTCTCCCAAGTTTTCTTGTTGGGCCTTAAGATTATTATTATTTTTTATTATTTATGAACTACCTAATTTAAAAACTTGATAAAAAAGTTTTGGCTTCAGTCATTTCTTCGCTGCTTGTACTGCATATTTAGCTTGGATGTTTCTAGCCAGTCCATTTAGTTTAGTTTGCTTTGTTTTTCCACTACTACATTTTTGTTGCTTTATTTTTCCATCCACTGCAGTGCTTTTACAAACAAAACGCTTGAGACAATGTTTGAGCAAAGGGTGTTGACCAAAAACAAGCCAAGATATACACAATCCATCAATGTGTGGCATCTCTCAAAGACCTTCATTGTACACAGAAGGAAATATTCATCCTAACAGATAGCCAACCAGGGAGAGATAACAGTGTTACTGTACTGGCATTAATGGTAACGAGCTGACAATGGTCTGTGTGATCCACGTGGCATTGAATTAGAGACCTATTTGCACTACTTAGACCACTGTGTGGCTCTGAGCAGTCAGGAAAACAATTCTTGGGGACACTGGATCCCGAGAAGCTCAGAACACTGAGTGTTTCTAACCTTGTGCCCTTCATCCAAAGAACGCAAAGGTTTGAATAAAGACCAGTGTCCTTTTGTGGAGAGCAATGGGCCCACTTATGAGGCCCCTGCTCATATGGGTTCTTTATCCACCCCCAGTCACCAAACCAAACCCATGGCAGCCTCTGCCACACTAAGATAACAGAGATGCTGAAGGTTCTGGATGTTGTGGCACTGTCATGACATGCCTCTTCAAAGTCTCAATAAATTTAAAACTACTTCATTAATCCCCAAAAGAAATTAAATGTTGTTACTATCCTGGTTTCTTTAAAGAGTTGCTAATAGGATAATTGTTAATTAATGTTTTAATGTTTTATGTCTATACACTTTGATTTCATTGTAGCTGAGAACAAACAGCGTGGTGTGCACAAATATTTCTCACGACTCACAAGAATATATCACAAAACATAAATTACACAACTGTTGTTTCAAAATTGTAATAGTTTTTATTCAGAGGAATTAAAAAAAAACCTGTGACCATGTGAAATGTTGCTTATCTTGTTAGAACTGTGAAAGCTCAGGTTTAATTTTTCCTACACTTTGATCTGCATTTGAACGCATCATGACAGTTGTACTCCAAACGTCAGAAAACAGCTGCTAGTTCTGGAAAGGACCGAAAACTGTGGTACCTGTGGTACCGGACAGACCGACGGCCGGTTCTGAAGCTCTTTCATATGAACTTATGCCGTGAGTCATGAACAAACCGGTCCTGACACAGGTCTGATGAAATTAATTGATTTAGACTCACGTTAGCCAATGTGACTAATGTGCTAATGATTAGCTCGAAGGCTAATCATTAGCCTAACGATTAGCCTTCGAGCTAACCTTTAAGGCTAAGAACATATCGTTAATTTTACAATTAACACTAGTTTGGGCAAATGTTAAAATCTATTTAAACATGTACTTTTAACAAAAACAAGAGAGATGAAATGTTGAAAGATGTAATTATAACAGACAGGTAAAAACTAAATTACTAGCATCTCTAAGCTAATGTCTGTGGCACACCTGTGAGGGTCTTTCACTCCTTGATAACAACAGTCCTAAAAAGACAGACAGCAAAACATAACAGTATCTGCTGTGTGAAAACTTTAATCTTCTTATTATTAAGATGATACCTACCAGTGAGTTAATTTAAATAGCTGTAAATTTACAGAGCTATAAGAAGTTAAATGTTGCAGATTACCAGTCTGAGCTGGTAGTCAGTGAGATTTTAGATGTGCACACTCTTCACTCTGGGAATTTGAGAAAAAACAACAAGACATACAGTATAGCAGTGAGAGGCACAGTGAGTGAAATAAGACAAAAATATATCGACTTTAAGCAGCATATTTGGGAAGTAAGAATTTGCTAAAAACAGAAAATGTGAGACGGTTTGTAAGTCATGTGTGTTTGCCTGAACAGGTCATGATGACCAGTCAGAGTTACACCCAGGCTGCTCAACCTGGCCAAGGTACGGACCGTGATGGTGGCTCCACACAGGTTCCTGTCAGAGTGGACCCCTGCTCTGAGATGAATCTGTCAGAACAAGGTCCCATTCCTCTTCAACAAATTATCCCACCAGAAATGTTAGACCCTTACAGCTTCAGGTAGAGTATTTATTTCTTCATTTCACTTCATTAAGAGATTTTTCATTTTAATTGTGTGAAAAAATGTCCTCTTGTGTTTTCATCACTCATAATTGTCAATATAATTAATATTACAAAACTCACATTTTAAATAGGGCTGTGAAATTAATCGAGTTAACGCTGCATTTAATGCTGCATAGGCATAGACTAAACATTTTTATCACGATTAAAATTTACAATCACTTTACTCTGGCTGAATATGTAGGTTTGTATATTGCAATGCACTCAGTGCATGCCAGGTCATGTTTGTAAATGAGAAGTGGTCCTCAAACAGTTTACCTGGATAAATAAAGGTTAAAAAAATCCATGTAACACATTATGTACAGTTTTTTTCTTTTTGTTTTCTTATGGCTTATTTTATTTTATTTATTTATGTTTTGCAGACAGCTGTGACCTTAGTATCTATCTTTCATTCCTCATGTAGTTCTCACTTGGAATGAAAATCCTTGAATTCTTGATTTAACCATAATTCTGCACAAAATTTAACCGACTCAAATGTTTGGAGCATTTTTTAGGTCCTGTTTTATATTCAAAAAATCATGTCAATCATCAATTGTCATCAGTTTTGTTTTCTAAATAAAAACATAAAAACTAATTAATAACTCAAGTAATTTATTT